CTCGCGGCGTTTTGCGGTGGCAGCGCGGGGGGGCCCGAGAGGCAGCGGAGGAGGGGGGGCGTCTGAGGAGGAGGAGGAGGAGGAGGAGGAGGAGGAGGAAGAGGAGAAGCAGGAAAAGGAAGGGACGGAGGCCGAGGAGGACGGGGAGGGGAAGGAAGGAAAGGAGAGTAGGAGGGGAAGGGGAAGGGAAATACAAAGGGGAAGGACGGAGGGATGGGGGGGGACGGGGGGGGCGGGAGGATGAACCTGGAGACAGGAAGCAGAGGCAGAGGGAGGGGTGGGAGGGGGGGAAGGGGAGAAAAAAGAGGAAGAGGAGAAGAAGGACGGATAAGGAGAAGCTGTGGACATAGGGGGAGGGAGTGGGAGATCGAAACAGTTCGACGAGCCGAATTCTGCCTTGAGCGCAAACGCCCTCCGCGCCAACCTCAAGAGGCGGAAGGCGCCGCTGTGCGAACAGAGTGGGGAAGTTTACCGCCCCCTTGGGGCGGTCCGTGAGTGCCCCGACAGGAAAACCGACGCGGGACGCGGCGATCAGAGCGCGCGACGCTCCACCTGCACACCCGCATTCACAGAGACACTGGCTGCACGCACGACTTGGCATGCGCGATACGGCGCCGCGACAATAGCGGCACCGCCTTGGGGCAGCCTCCGCGGCAGCCCAGAGGTAGAGCTACGGAGAAGTTGCCAGCATCTCGCGCAGCGCACTCAGAAGACAGAGGGGATAGCACTGGCGCGCTATCGGCAAGCATCAAGGCAGGCCTGGTGGCTCGCCTGGGGGGTGGCCCCGACGGGGGCAGGCGATCGGGCCTGACGAAGGTCGACACGGGCGGTCTGCACACTTTGTGCATGTCACGACGGGCCCCGAACTTTTTCGGGAGTGTGCGCAGCTTACGACCAAGTCTGGCACAATAATCACGCATCGTGGCAATGCTGGCAGCGCGGTCCACCCCGCGGTCGGGGTCGGCAGATTGACGGGCGGCCTTGGCACGCCTCCGCTCGGTGAACCCGCACTGGGATCAGTCGGCCGCCGTCGCCCTGGCAGGTGGCACCGCGGCCGCGAGGCCGCGGTGCCTTCCCCCTTGTCGCGCCACCGACGGTTGGATCGGCAGTGCTGGCCGAGCCGACTGCGCCTGGCGGCGGGCTGCTGGGCTGCCCAGGCGCAAGCCGAGCTCGCTCTTAGGCCGCCCCACCCTCGCCCGGCGACGGGTGGGCAGACAGATTTGGCGCAAGCCCTGCTCGGTCTCTCCGGCGCGGCACGCGGCGGCGACGGCCTGGGCGCGCAGTCGTGAATGCGAGGCCGCCCGTGCCCATGCGCGCGAGCCCTGGCGGGCTGGCCATGGACCTAGCTGCACTACTCGTCACGCTGGTGGGCGCCAGCGTGGAGATGCCGCCCTCAGCCGCGCCGCGAAAAGATGCACTGCCAGCACCCGCCACGGCGGTCAGCGACGTGGCACTCGAGGCAGATGAGGGCAAGGCCGCCACACTCGGCCGCGCTGCTCGACGACGCGCTGCCGGCACCCTGCATGCCACTCAGCGACGTGGTGGTCGAGTCAGTACTCGCCCCACTCGCGCGCGCGAGGGTCGAGCTGATGCTCTCCGACGCGTCGCTCGACGTCTGATGATATCCGACGCGCTGCTTATAGGTGCGCCGATGGCGCCCGTCGCGGCGGTCAGCGACGTGGCACTCGAGTCAGCACTCGCCCCCCTCGTGGACATGAGGGCCCAGCTGCTGCTCTTCGATGCGCTGTTCAACGTCGAGATGCGAGTTTCCGCCGCACAGCCCCGCGACGTTGTCGTCGAGGCCGCACTCGCCCACTTCATGGTCGACAGGGTCGAGCCGCCGCTCACAGCCGCGCTGCTCAACGATGCGCAGCCGGCGCCCGTCGCGGCGGTCAGTCAGAGACATGGCACTCGAGACAGTGCCCGTCGAACTCGCGGGATCGGGGGTCGAACTGGCGCTTCCCGACTTGCTGTTCAAAGTCGACATGCTGACACACGCCACGCAGCTCAGCGACGTGTCATTCGAAGCACTGCTCGCCCCGCTGGTGCACGCCAGGGCCCAGCTGGCGCTCGCCGACATGCTGCAACGGCGCGCTGTCGGCACCCGTCGCGGTAGCTGGCGACGCAGTGCACAAGACTGTGCTCGTCCTACTCGTGGACATCCGGATCCAGCTGCTGCTCTCCAGCGCGCCGCTCAGCGTCCAGCTACGAATTCTGGTCGCGCTGCTCAGCGACGTGGTCTCCAACGCCGTTGCCACCCCACGCGTGGACGCCAGGGTCTGGGTCGAGCCGCTGCCCCCACTCGCGCTGCTCAACGATGCGCAGCTGGCACCCGCGGCGGCAGCCATCGCAATGGCACTCGAGACAGCATTCGCCTGGCCGCGCCCGTGAACGCCAGGGCAAGGCGCTGCTGCGCAACGTCGAGATGCCAATGCCTGCCACGATGCGGGGCGACGCGGTACTCGAATAAGTACTCGTCAAACTCGCGCGAGTCAGGGTC